GTCTAGTTTATATAATGCTTATAATCAGGATGAAGTAAATAATAAATTAGTTATCAAAATTGATCAAGATAATGATCAAATCACAAAGTTTTCTTTTACAGATAATATTTCAGAAGTATTTAGTTTACCTAGAATTTATAAATATATTTAATGGTCAAAAACTTTTAAGAGTCATGATTAATATAGATGTTTTGCAAGAAGATATAGAAATAACTTTATTAAGATACAAGAAGTATTTATTCAAATTTGCTTATTTTTCATAAGAGTCTTATACCAAATTTTTGACTGTAATTGGAAAAATATTCTCAATATGTTAGTAATTACCATGTCTTCAGATTTTAGCAAGTATATTATCATATTTTATATGGGGTGAGTGATGGAAAAAAGGACCAAATCGACAAAAGAATTTTTTTTGAAATAAAAAATGATCTGAATCAGATGACCAAATCTACATCTATTTTACTTAAGAACTTTTTTTTAAAAAAAAAAATCAATTTGGTCCATTTTCCCAGCACTCACTCCATATATACTAGTTTTTCTTATCAATCAATCACTATGAACTTAAAGTATTTATAGAATTAGTATATATCTTAATTGAAAAAAATTTGATAAGTTTATTGATCAGAAATTACCTGATCAAAATCTTAATCTTTCCTAATTGATTTAGCAAAAAAAGGTTATGTAAAATATATTTATTATATAATAGGTGAAATAAACTCAATTACATTAGAGTTCAACCACCTTTTAATTTGAATTTTAAAGTAAAATTCTGATTACTTAGTAAAGAAAAAAATAATAAATCACCAAAACAATTGTGGGTCAGAATATATTACAAAAATATGTAGACCTAGTAGATCTAATTTTGCAAAAGTATTTTAACTATCTTAGAAATTAGATTATCAAAGAAAAAGATTCAAAAAACTTCGTATATGTTAATTGAAAAGCTTTATTAGAATGCTTATTATATAAATATATACATGATAAGAATTAGTGATGGTTCAATCATATATATGTTAGCAGGAAACATTCATCATAAAATACTTTTAGCAAAATAGTAATGAACTTGAAGAAGTTTTTGAATATGACCTATCTATTATAAAAAGAATTCAGCAAAATAAAATTCTTTATAATCCTCTCATAAAGTAAAAGACCTGAGTTTTCTCAAAGCTTTTGTAAAATTCCTATTTTGAGTCAAGTATAATGAATCCCTTATAGCAACAGAAATATATGAAAAGAGGTATATAAAACTATTATCCAATGAACGTGATATTTATATTAGATTATTTTGAAAAATTGGAAAAATATATGTTCTTAAAAATCTGCTATTCCTGATGATATAAATTTGCTTATATTATTTATGTATTACTCTTATTTGAATACTGTTACTATAAGACTTAATCTTAAACTGTATTATAATATTAATAGTAATATAAATTTACCCAATTACAAGAGGATAGTATGTCAGACAAAGAATTTACATTATATTATCAATAATTGCTAATGTAAAAAATATGACTAGAAATACCAGAAAAAACAATAGAGAGCAGAATAACCAACAAAGAGAGCACTTAATGTCGCCTCTTTAAAGCAACAATAATAAAAAAAGAAATACTACTCAAACTCTTGAAGTTCTACCTGAACAAAGTACGTCAAAAACAGTCATTCCAGTTGTAACTATAAAAGTCAACTCACCGTCTAACACTAAAGGCAAAGAATCTGAAACTTGGAAATAAATTAAGAAAAATTTTTCAACACTCCACTCAATGTCAACAAAAGTTTTGATGCGTCTGAAAACTTCTTGGATCCTAATACGCCCTCAGTTCAAGTGTTTGATAGACCCAAAACATATTTTTACAGGTTTTTCCTACTTAACGATTTTTCAGGAACTTTATCTCAACAAAAAACTTCTTTTATCATTAATCTCTTATTTGACAAATATGACTTGTTCACTAGGGCAATCACAACAAAACACCCTTTGAACTAATCTCAACGAATTATCAAAATCTCCTTTCACAACAAAGAATATCAAGATTATATATATTCAATCCTATTATCTAATTTAGAAGATATATTTTTACCTCTAGATGTAACACCAATGCATCCTTTTATTCCTGCGCAGTTGATAAAGATCACAGAAATATTCCTAGATTCTACAGAACATAGAATCAAAACTATTTTCAGCTGATTTGAATGATCATTAGATTTAAATATAAAAATCAAAAACATGTGGCATCAAGCCACTATTATATATGCAAAAAATGCTGATTTTAAGAAATTAAAAATGTGCAATGATATTTTTGTGCTTAATGACATAGTCAGGATACATATATATAACTTAACTAATAAAGATATCTGCGAAAAATCAAAGTATTCAGCAAAACTAGCTGGTTTGCTAAGAAATATTATAGGTAAACAACTTAGATATTGAACTTATAGTTTACGCAATAGCATAGATTATTCAAAAGCTAGATTTAATTATCACAACTTACAACATGCATTCTTCTACTTTGCTAATACATCTGATGTATTTATTATAACATAATATAAATATATTTATTTTAATCGTTAGAACTATAGCATTCATTTAAAATAAAAATATATGCATATTATTATTTTAGATCATGAGTAAATCAAAAAGAGCTTGACCAGATACTTTTAATAGGGTAGTGTATATGCATATTATTATATTAGATCATGAGTAAATTAAAAAGAGCTTGACCGGATACTTTAATAGGGTAGTGTATATATAACTTTTGCTTACGTAATTAAAAGATAAAATGAAAATAGACATACAATATAACATAGAAACTAAAGATTTTTCACACGTTTAAAGGTACATCACAGTATATCAACAACTATGCAATATCATCGAGTTATCGAAACAACATCTTGCACAATTTATGTAATGCTAAAATAACTGACAGCATTGATTAGCTTAACATATGATCATTATTCCCAAATACTTCTCTGTTTTTCATTGACCTAATTAAAGGTTGTTCTAACATCATTATTTAAATTGATTAACTCTTCATTTACTTTACGAGATGATGCTAAAGCAGCTACATCTAATTTTATATATCATGTCTTCAAACTAACACAGTTGATTTAGCAGGAAAGATGCATACTCTTTAAAGTTTTGAAGATTCACTTGATATTACAGATTCTCTCAAAAAAACACATATTAATGCAACGGAATATAATTTTAAAACATTACAAAATGCATTTTCATCATTCTCATTAATAGATAAAATGGTCTGATTAGGATTATATTGATCAAATTTTTAGTGTAGTAAGGTTAAGTCTTTTTCTGTTTCTGATTGCTAGAATATGATAACATGGTTTAGGTTATATTAGATTCTGAGAAAGTGCAGGATCAGTCTTAATTTAGATAGTTTATGATTATTTAGATAGAGATTTTTGAATTCTGAATATATGTAATTTTTAATTATTTTTCAATAAAGTTTTTGTGAAACTACCACACTTAAAAAAAAAAAAAAAAAAATAATTGCAAATGTAATAAAAACTGTAAATATTTTCTGAGTCAATATGATTTATAGCTTGATGAAATAGTATTTATAATTGTTTAGACATAAAGTTATTTGATAAGGCAATCAACTGAAAAATAATTTAAGAAATGAGATGCATTATCATTATGGATGATGATTTTACCAATCTTAATATTAAATGAATTAAAGCTCTTCACAAGGATAAACTATTTTTAATTATTTATAATACTTACTAGCTTTAGAAAATAAAACATTTTGCTTAGTCTCTAATAAAAATTCATATTAGTCGAACTTTGAAATTGAGCTAAGCAAATGTTCTTGTTTTCTTTTGAAAATTGTAAAAATACATCACTTATTTACCATTTTAGAAAAATATGCAAGAAATTGTTTATGCTTTCAAGACTGATTTTTTAAAACTAAAAACTAAGAAATATTACAGTAAATCTAATCTAATAGAAAAAGCTCAAGATTTTAGCAATATAAAAAATCATAAAAAAACATAAACTTAGTTGCTTATACCAGCACTTTAAAAAATATGAGTATCTTGCACTAATCCTAAGTTTGAATGAGCATTTTGCATCTATAATAATTATATAGAAATAAATGCTAGAATAAATTAAATATTATTCCATATGTAATGCATTAAGGAATTTATATATCATATCAAGTAAAGATCATCTAATATTCCTATTATTTAAAACATTTTCTTATATACTAAAGTCTTAGCCTAAATATCAATTAGCTGGATTGCTAATTTTGAGAAATATATTACAAAAATCAATAAGAGGTTAAGGAATTATAGAACTTTGTGTTCAAATAATTTGAAAGTTATGTATAATGAGTATAGTTTCCATTATGAAATTATTGGAAAAAAAAATTCTGGTTGAGTTGATTATACAATTTTATTTTACATTTGAAAGCTCATATGAGACAAACAAGTAAAACAAACCTGTAATAAAGTTTTTGGTGATGATAACTTTGATTATCTGTATAATGTAATCACTATTGCGAAATATTGATATTAGCATAAAAACTTTATAGGCAAAGACCTAAATCTTTATATTTATTTAATATATTGCAAATAAAAAAATGGATTACTTAATTTTTTATGTATATTTATTTGACTAGTAATGATACATTTTTATTTTTAACTTTATTGATCGATAAGAGGCCTACATATTAATACAGCTTATTGAAATTTAGAATCAGTTAATTATTAGACAATAGGATTATTAGCAAAGATTTAGATTAGAGACTTTCATATTTTGTAATGATCAACTGGAAGTTTCTAGTGATTAATTGCAAAAGGGTCTTAATTATAAAAATTCTAGATGTATTAGCACTATTCTAATAAAAAAAAATCAAAATTACAAATAAAAAAGTTGCACATATCTTAATCACAATTAATTCTTAATCTATTAATCTAATAAAATGTTTTCACCTGCAGACATCATCTTGTTCTCACTCTTCTGCGCTATAGTAATAATCTACAAAATGATATTCCAGGAAGTTATAACTGTTATAACTATTGAAAATCTTCAAGTTATTTTTTCAGAAAATTTATTCCTGTATAAAATTTTTGCTAGAGCATTCATCTATTTTCGTAAATAACAGATCAGAAGAAATAATATTCTTTTAAGATCCATTCTGGTCTTAAATAACAAACTTCAGAAAATGTGTACTAAGAATAAATGAAAGAATAATATCATTTCACAAAATTAGTCCCTATGTGATTGAATTTCTCAGGACCTAAGCTATGCATAATCTAATTCATATCTTATTCTTTCAAGCTAATTTTAACAGATTTTCTTTTACAAGTCTTATATCTCAATATTCTGAATATAAGACAAAATACAAATATATTGGATTGAATTTATGGCCATATTTGATGAAAGAAGAAAAAAGAGAAATACTCTCATATGCAGATATATAATATACTATCTTAAGAAATCAAACTTAATTCTGTCACATTAGCCAGCTTCTATCAATATCAAAAAACCCTAAAAACTACTTCTATAAATAAAATAATTCCATGAATTAAATGGAAGGAAAAAAGGAGAATTAGTTTTGTAAATAATAGTACTAGTAATAGTAGTAGTAATAATAGTGATAATAGTGATAATGGTAGAAAATAGTGGTAGAGCCAAAGAATAGGAGCAGTCATTATCTTTTGAAACAGGTTTTGGATCTGACTGCAAGTGTTCTAATATATTGGACTAATTGCCTATGGTAACTATCTGTTATTTAGAATGTGTTTTCCTATGCAATTTCACAAAAATTTATTTTATTTTATATATCAAAAAAATATAAAAAAAATATCTTATAAAAATAATTTTACATAATAGTTAAATAAAAACATAAATTAGTACAGTAAGAGAATCTGTTTTATTTATTTATAAAATTTTTACGTCTTATTTTCCTCATCCACAGCAGATACCAAAAATAGAAGGATCTTTAGCAAAATAATCGCTAATCTTATCTTCCAATTTCATATCCTTATATGATTTTCATAATCAATTGCATATATAGAAAAAGAAACATTTCTGAATTTCTCATCCAAATGATATTTTTGGATTTGAGATTCTAATGCAGTAACTGATGCATCTTTTTCAATACTAATACCAATTAAAAAAAACAAAAAAAACTCTTTCTCCATTTTTGCAAAATTTCTGAAAAATGAAAAAAACAAAACTATTTTGTGAAGAAATCCAAACTGTAACTGTTCTAGTTTACCAGTTAGTAATAGAATCCACCATCACCAGCAAAAAGAATCCAATATGCATAGCAAGAACAAGAACTACAACAACAAACACCAGATCAGTCAACTTCTACCCAAGAAAATAAAAATATAACAGAAGAAACTATAAATATTGATCCAACTTCATCCAACGATAATAAGGGTAAAGCATCTGAAACCCTCTTTTCACCTGAAAATAAAGTTCATGACAATGACCAAGCAAATGATGTGTCTGAAAATATGCTTTCAAACAATACTGAAAGAATATTACACATTTCAAAAGAGAACAAGACTCTCCAATTTTCTTTGCATATTATACCGAAGATATCTTTCTTTTCAACAAATCTAATAAAGAAAAAACAAATGCTGCTTATGATTTGTTTTGTGGCACTGAATACCTTTCATTTATTGGTGCATTTATTAGAAATTTCCCACTGACTCAACAAAGAAAATTATCAGAATAGGCTTCACTACACAAGTTGACACAGAAAAAGCCATTGCCTTTAATATTTCTAATATGGAAAATACCATATTTTTACCCCTTACACAAATCCCGATTGGCAAATTTATCCCAGAAAAATTCATTAAAATATCAGAGATCCCGATCTTAGTGACCGACGTGAATATCTATGCAGTATTTTCCTTTTTAGCAAGATCATCAGATGTCCCATGACTACTAAAAAGTTGTGGCAACAAGCTACAATAACATATGATGATACCACTAACATGAACCTATTCAATACCATTGATAGTTATTTTGTCCTTAAAGATTTAGTCTATATTCACCATTGCAATTTATCAACTGAAGCCATCAGAGCCAAATTAAAATTCTCACTAAAACTAACCAATCTTCCTATTGATACTAACAGATGCCAATTGATTAATATTGGTTATACAGTGAATGCAATAACATGAGTAATTCTCAAAGCAAAATCAAACTATTGTAATTTATAGTACGCTGTATTTTACTTTAAAACACAAAAACGTCTCGACTTTGTTAAGGAATGTGACACTATTTCTAAATCAAAAAAAGCTCATTTGGACTGAACCAAACACAAAATTATGTTACATATGCTCTGTCCATAAACATCAATCCTATAACTGTAGACGTAACCACAAAGCGCTGAATAATAGATAGATGTAAAACCTCTACCAAAGATACCAACCCACACAATTCAGTAACAATAAAACTCCCCTACCTAAACCAAAACCTCCTTACAACTACCGTCAAATCCCCAAATGATCAATAGTTTCAAATAGTTACCAGCAACCCAATGATTTCTATACCCATATAACAAAAATCTGACCCTAACGATCCCTCCAATTACTATCGTCCAAATCAATGAAAAAATACATATACTAAAGGTGAACAGACTAGTATTCATGCAAATAAAGATTAGGCAAATAGTACAGAGCATGAATACTTTTAAGAGAATCTTTCTAATCAACAAATTCATGATTAATCTAAACTAGACCAAATAATACTCAAACTTGAGTTTATAATGAACCAACACATATCAATCCACACTGATCTTTCCTTTACCATTGATAGGATGAATGCAATTGAAGAAAATTTAGATATCACTGCTTTCACTCAACAAGAAGCAGATGAACTTAACGCTTCCCCAACTATGAAAGATGATAACTATGAAGATTCTAATCCATACAAAGCTGGTATCATCAGCGACTATACAAAAGTTGACCACTTACGTGATGAGAATAATACCCTTAGAGAAAACTTTGAAATAAATGTTAAAAAACTTAATTTTGCGCTTCAAGCGGTAGCCCAAATGCAACGTACCCTAAAAACTCAAATGTTATCAGTGATATAATTCCAGTTGAAGTTCTTATCTCTCTATTAACTAACTGTAGAAATGAGAACAATGTCTTTGTCTCCCCCATCCCAATTTTTATAATTATCATGATTAGTACAACAAATGATTCCATCATGAACGACCAGACCATATCTTTCACAACTCCTTTTATAAATAATCACACCACTAAAACCTTGATGTTAAACATTGTTACTCATAACGTTCGCTCTTTTAATAACTTCTTTAAACAAAAATTTCTAACCAATCTTTATTTTGCTAATCATCTTGATGTCATTAGCCTTCAAGAAACAAATTTTAATACAAATAGAGACCTTTCTTCTTTACGCTTCTCCCTTTCTTTATCCTTTATCCTCTTTTTTGAATACAAACAAAACTCTCAACAAGTTGGCTTTGATGTAGGGCTTTTGATTAAAAAACAACTCGCCAACTATATTTACAAGCACGCTAGCAATTTGGGAAGATATATTTATATTGACTTACAATTCCCAATCAGATTCAAAATTAGAATCATCAACGTATACATTTCAAGTAATAATGTTCAACTACATATATAAACCATTAAAGAAGTAACTGAAATTATTTAACAGGCCTTTATAATGAACATGCACATTATTTTACTTGGTAATTTCAATGCTATCCTGAATCATCCTATTAACCCTTCTAAAACAAATGAATTTTTTTCCCTCTTAAAGTCTTTCAATATTTTCAACTCTTGTGAATTATGTCATGACAATGCTAACACTATCCATCCTATCTATCATCGATTCCCAACATCTACTTCTTCTCGTATCAACCACATTTTTTTTCTAGCTCTTTTCAAATAGTATCATCTTATCTGAGATTTTGGATATAGACCCACAATACACTGATCATTGTATTGTTTCTACTAAGATTGCTATTGCAGAAATAACTCATAGAACTGTCTTGTCTAAAGCAATTAAAAAGATCGTATTCTTATATGATAACATCAGTGATCAACAATGAATGGTTTTTTCAAAAAAAACGAACAGCCTTTTAAAGTCGTGTCATCTAAAACAGATGACCTTAGCCCATCTATCTTCAATACACAAACTTAATTTCTATTGAAACTATCTTAAACAGTACATCATTAAAGTTGCAGAATCAACTATCCCACACAAACAATCTGCTGAACATACTAAAGACCTATGACCTTCTGCACTTAAAAAAGATTATTGATAACTATTTGATCTTCAGAAACTAGAACATATTTCATTGCAGAGTATCAATACTGGCAATATTAAAGATTCATGAATCAACATCTATCACAAAATTAGTAAATTCGTATTATTGTATAATACCACTTTTGACTCAATCAATATTGTTACTATTGATTTGATTTGTCAATATCTACCTAAAATTAGATCTTTTCTAGGTTTAGTCATAACAGCCTTAAAAATAAAAGAAGATGAACATAAGATAAAGATGATCAAAATACTCTTGAGCAAAGGTGTGAAAACTTCTAAATAGACTAATTGAAGATGATTGATTTAATTTTAAATCATAAATGTCAAACAATCATTTTAGATCATTATCTTAACAATTCACAAGCCAATTTTAGATTGCTTATCTCAGCTGAGAACATTAAAAGAGAAATAGTATAACATTTCTAACATGCTGCAGGACCACAGAACGTGTCACTAGAAATTCTAAATGAATGCTAACCCTTTTATGATTCTCTCCATAATATTGACCTGTCTATTTATAACAATCTTATAAATATCCCGTCTGAGAAGGAATGGGTTTAGATTATTAAGACTCTTTCAAATGATAAAGCTACCAGCCCTTCAAAGATTTCAAATGAACTTCTGAAACATCTTGGTCTTCTTACAAACAAAGATTTTTAGACTTTCATATGTAGCTGTCTTAAACTATCACTCACACCTGATGCTTGAAATTACGCTTATGTATACCTATTGCTAAACCAAAACTATGTGAATTTAATCTAAACAATATATGACCAATTACGTTATTAGAATACCCTAGAAAAGCCCTGGTTAAACTTATTAACAAAAGGCTATTATCTATTCTTTCAGCACACAATGTTTTAAAAGGAAATAATTTTGCAGATTTCTTCTTTCATTTCATATTTGAACCTATTCATA